TTAAATTCCCGAAATTCGAGGACCAGTATGTACAAGAGGTTTCTAGCTAGCGGAACTTCGAGTAATTTTATTACAGCACGAAACACTGCAAAAATGCATGATCGCACGGGCTCCCCAGTGAGCGTCGCCAATGATTTTTTCCCGACAGCAGGTACGGCTGCCCCGGAGCGGATGGCGGCAGTTTGAATGTGGTAGGTGGAAGTGGAGGTGGTATGTCGCGGGTTTCGTCCGAGGCAGGGGAGGGTGGCTAGGATAGGTGGATGTAAGGACTAAATGGCGTAGATCCTTTGCCGATTGACTAAGTAAGGTACACTTGGAGGGAAGATGGGAGCGGCGAAGAACGGAAAAGATGAGGAAGTGTGCTCCTGGTTTCTACCGTAGATTTCTGGGGTAGGGAAAGTTTGAACAGTGATGTTATAGTAGGGATGGAGAGGGGTCTATATCTTGTTTTTTAGCAGAATTTGGGACAGGGTAGAGAAGGGGAATGAGGATGCAAGTCAGGAACTCAAGGCAAGAACTGGAGATAGCAGTAAAGAGAAAAAGACAATACTGCGCACACAAATAAAAGTGAATTAAAGGAAATCTGACATATGAATAAAAGCAAAAGAAACTGAGGTTTTGCTAGTGGAAACTGATCAATAAAAACCCGTCATCAGTAGGGAACTTCCCTTTTTATGAAACTGATGCTTAGGAAAAACTATTCCATAAAAACCGGTCATCACACTTTCCTATTTATGAAACTGATGCTTAGGTAGAGCTGAGAGCTAATAAGTTCCATGAAGTGAGCAAGAGCAGGGTAGACTGGGTGCGTCGGGATGAAGTCAGCCTTTACTTCTGTGAGATTTCGAAGGGGAAAAATAGAGGTGTAACTGTTATACAGTTGCAAGCTGCGGAAAGCAATACTGTGGGATTGTCTGCAGTTCTTGTGTAAATCCAATCGAACTTATTAGCCCTCAGCTTCACCTAAGCATAAGTTTCAGTAAATCCTGTCGACCTTATTTGCCCTCAGCTTCACTTAAGCATAAACCTCATAAATGCGGGGACAGCTTACTGAAGACGGTTTTTTTTAAGACAAATCTTACTCGCATAAGCTCAGTTTTTGTTTGCTTTTGCTTTTGGTTACAGGCTCCAATTCTTTGATTTTGCTTTTTTTTCTTTTGTTCACAAATTCAGGTTTGTTTTAATTTACTTTTCTTTGTACTGCTGTGTT